GTGGTCATTTTTTCAAATTTCCACTTTAAAAATTTTGGTTATGGCACCAAATTCCGTTAGAATCCATAATTACCAATGGTTCCATCATAAGAAAATCATCGATTCTCAGTTCAATTCTGATTCTCTTCGAAACCGTACAATATAAAACCACGTCCACCCTTGTCCTTCTCAGTTGTTACAATGTTTATTGGGCCTATAGCTTGAAAATTTTGAAAAGACGAGAATTATTGTACTGGGTCTCCTTGTGAGGTCCTTGACTGATCATTTACATGGACTCAGTAAAAGTGGGCCTAGAATTCTGCCCAGGTCTCGGATTTCGGGTAAATTTCATCTGTAGTCACTTTACTTTTGCAAAATCTCAATTGGATAATTAAACTTTAATTTAATTAAATTTGATCACTGAACTTCAATAACATTTCAAGTTTTATCATTTTCTCAAAATCTCAATTGGATCATTAAACTTTAATTCAATTTAATTGGATCACTAAACTTCAATAGCATTTCAAGTTTTATCATTTTTTCAAATTCCACACTTGTCTCCAAACTTACATAAATCACTTAATTGGNNNNAAACTTACATAAATCACTTAATTGGCAATTAAATAATAATTAATATTCCACATAATCACTATGTGACACCTTAGAGGTTAAATCATGGGACTCTTTTCACTTCCATCATGTCTTTTTCTTAAAATGTTAAAAAGTGCGGGTTCTTATTATAATATTATTATAACGTGATAGAGTCGTAAATTAGCTTGTCACGCAGTCATTGCACGAAAGATCTATTGAAGTATGACTGTCAAATAAATAATTTCATCAATTTGAAAGATGACAGGTAATATTTGAAACGAAACTAATTTTTCGGCTAATGATTATAAATTTATAATAGATAATCCACTTTTTATTCACATATTTCGTAGACCACAAGAAATAATTATTTATTCACCATTCATTTTTATTTATTTAAAACTTAAAGAGTATATAAACACTTTTGAAACATACTCTTATTGAAGTTCAGCGACCCAATTAAAACTAATTAAAGTTCAATGACCCAATTGAAATTTCAACGGAAGTTTAGTGATCACAGATAAATTTTACACGAGATTTTCTCTCCAAATTGCGACTGAATTTCGTTAGGCTTGTTGGTTCATGTCACTAAGCTAAACCCTTAGTCATTCTCCATTTCCGAAGTCAAACCCTCCTCCATTACACAGTTGCACTTTGAGCTTAATATTTCACATAAAGTTAACTATCTTACAATAGAAAGAGTTCACAAGCGAAGTCAGAAACCCTAAAACCCTCTTTCATATCATCCCAAATCTAACCTACATTTCTTCCAACTCTAACAACTGCTGGTTAGCAAACTACAGAATACCATCATAAAAACTTATCTTTTAATCTGTTCCTTGTAGAATCATGTAGGGAACTAGTTACTGTTTTCATCGTCATTCTGTAGAGCCTTGAAAAGATTAAGACGGCTATGGCTATCTCCTAGTCGAAGCGAATACGCAGCCTTCTTGTACTCAGCCCAGGTGAAGCTTCTGTAAAGAGGAGGTTTCTGTGGTGTCAATAGTCCTGGTAGACAACTTATTGTGGCATCAAGGCGTGGAGCTGAAAAATATGCCATTGACATTCTAGACTTGTATGAGTTCACCATAACTCTGTGTCTTACGCTCAAAAACCTTCCATTTGTCATAACCTTCAAGAAAATGCACGTTACATGACATTAGTACACAAAAATTAGTCAGCAAACTAAAACAAAATCTTAGAATATTAAACTATAAATTATTTATTTGACGATGTTACTGATTAATCCCTCACGTCAATTACGATAAAGAGATAAGCAAAATGAAATCAGAAACGCACGCGTGGAAATACACGAGTTTGTGGTGGTTAACTCTGAATGTGAAAAGTGAAAACTATGCCAACTCGCAGCCGTAGGATAAAAAATGGCCCCCTAAATAGTTCTTTACATAAACAGTACTCATCCGAGGATAAATGTATCGACTCTATTAATTCCAATATATTTGACTAAAAATACTTAAATGGGCATATTTCATTTGATGTATGGACTTTCGTCGTTTGGTTGGCTGTATGGAAAATCTCCACAATGATTCAAGAAGTAAAAATGATGCACACACTCTTGTAAACAATTTTCTTGCCAAATCAAAGTTGCTTCATGAGATAAAAAAAATTTGAGTCTCAGTCAATGGATGAAAACTGAATGGAGGGCCCCATCCAATTCCAGATGATCAGACTGATCAATTCTATCAAACCAATCCAGTGCACTGAAACTCTGAAAGTTACATCCATCAACTGGACTACAACACATTTCAGTTCAGTCCCAGTTTCAGTTTGGTTATGATAACCATGCATGACAGAAGAAAAGCGAACCCAAAATAAAAGACGGGACCCACCTGTAACGCGTCACCAACATTAATACAGAAGGCTGAAACTGGGTGGGGGTTGACTGGGACCCAAACCCCATCATTCAGTGAGATTTGGAGGCCATCTACACCGTTAGATCTCAAAATGGTCAAGATCTGAGGGTCAGTATGTTCTCCAAACCCAATAGATGAGGGTGACGCGGCACCATCATCAGCCTTTGGATAGTGATTGAATCTGAGGAGTGAGTCGCATTCAACGTCTCTGATTAGCCTGCTGAGTACAGAGGGGTCAGGAAACCCTAACCCTACTGCCATCAGCTCCAATGTTTCACATGCCAACTTCTTAACTGCTTCTACATAACCCCTCACTGCAGAGCTGTCCCAATGCACAAGAAACTGAGTTAAGTACATTTTTTAATTAGTTCAGGCATTAATCATATGATTTCTTTCATATTTTTGATTAAAAGTTTGGATAGCAGTTGTGAAATAGGAAACTATAAACAAAGCGCACACATACAAAAATTATAATAGTTCATTCTCTTATGTTTACTTTATGGATATGCAATTTTTCCCTATGACGAAAAAAAAAAAAAAAGAGAAGTTAATCTCACTTCTTTGACACACCAAAAAGGGCATTTTCAAATCCTATAGATTATGAATGTTAGACCTCGCTCCTGTTCAATTTCGATAAAATCAATTTTTGAAATGTGTGATCGATGAGATAGGCAAAAAGTAAGTTTAAGCTTCATAAAGTTCATAAAAGCAGGTTGAGAATGGTATGGTTTGTCTGTCCATTGGCACGATATTAATGGGGATTGGTGGTTCGCTTCATTTGGTAAAGTTGGTCACCACAGGCAATCCCCATATCTGGGAGGTTTCAACTTCTTTTGAAAAATCTATTGATTTGATTGGACCTTGTTGATGTATATAAGACTTGTCGCTCTGATTCTTATCCATTAATTGTGCATAAGGTCTATCCATTTTTCTCACTTCACCCTATGCTAATTCTTACACACTCTTTTGTAAGTGGTCAAATCAGTCTTTATTTTCACCTTCCGTACAAACTCATTTTATATTGTCAATGTAACACGAAGCCATTATTATCATTATTATTATTATTATTATTTTCAAAACTCCCATTTATTAAGAGAATCACAATCAAACATTTATCTACGTAAAGGGTAATGTCCACAAGCCTACCATAAAGATTTACTTAGTCTATGTTTGAGCCTTATTCTTTTAAGACTTTTTTTTTGCAAATTCACTTTCAATTATACGTTCTTTTGATAAAAGAAATTTTACACGTAAATTTAAATTTTTTCTTACTTTTAACCACATATTCTTAAAAAAAAAATCACTTTTTAAATAATCCATTCTAAAAAAATAGACCCAAAAAAGAAGCTTAATTTTGAAACAGTTTTGCTACAGGTACACTCTGGCTGACAGTTTGGTTGACATTGTGTGAAATAATCAACATTTTTGCTCTTAATTTTAACATAACTTAAAATAATCAATGATACGGATTTTGACAAAATACAATGTCAACAAACATGTCACCAAAAAATGTATAAATAACATAATTCATTTTGAGTCCCTGTTTGACACACATTCTTTAAAAATACATTTTTTCAAAACTCGTTTTCAACCACACATTTTTCAATAAAATAATATTTTATATCACATCAATCATTTTTCCTTATTTTTTAACCATATATTTCTCATCATATCACTATTTAAAATACATTCTTTTCTCAATAATATCTATTAAACACACCCTCAAACCCAAACTTAATGGAAATACCATGACCCTATGTAACAATGGTCCAACTAGGCACATATAAACCATTGATATCATAGTATATACTCAAACAATCAATAAGGAATGAAAGTTATGATTAAGGGCACTGTAGAATGGTGGATGATAAGATAATCAAAAACTTAAGTCCATTAATTATATATTTAAGAGAATGAACTTAGACGTTATGGAAGAAATTATTTTGCTTTAAATCATTATCAGACATTATTTCTTTAATTAATGAATGTATACACCCAATCCATATCTATACCGTAAGAATTACGTATTTATTCAGTATTGAAAGAGATGGATTAAGAGTGCACGTAAGAATATCACTATACATGTCTTAATGCTTTTCATGAAAGACCTCTAAATTGACAGCAAACGAATATATATTATAATTATTATATATATGCAGAATGTATGATTTTAATGGTAGAAGGTCTGTGGATTTCCAGTAAGGATCAGACATGACCTAGGGTTAAAAAATAAGAGACACTTGACAGCATTTCATTGGATGATTAGAAAAAAAAAAATCAATAACCACCTACTCTATGTGCAAGCAGCATTATTGTTAAACATTCCTATTCAACCATTTGATTAATATTTGACATGCATGTACGGTATACCATTTATCAAAACACATACACACTTGCAGTATTTGAATAGGTGACAATCAAATTACATTACACACCATGTGTGATACTAGTCTCATTATTTATTTAAATTTAACCTCCCATTCCCTATTTGACCTCCATTAAATTATATTACGTTACATTAAATTTCTCTCTCTTCATTATAATCACACATTCATCAAATAAAGTAATATTACACACAAATCTAAAAATTTTCATTACTTTTCCACCATACATTCTCCCATCAATCACTATTCCAAAAATTTTCAACCATCCAAAATGCAAAATAATGGGGGCCAAACAGGGGCATCACCTTGCTCTCCAACATGAGACACCGTTGGATAGTCAAAATAACATAGCTCGTCCAGTAAATTAAAAATTTGCCGATGAGAGCAAAAGTTTCAATGCTATAGGCGCACCAGCTTCAACGAGACGAGAGCATTTTCATTGTGCTATGAATTGTACTAAAGAATGTCACATCACACCCTCCATATTTAAAGATAGATACTTGATATCTTCCATTTAATTTTTTATAATTTAAGGTGTGTTTGAACCACATTATTTTGAAATAGTAGATTGATAGAGAATGTGTGGTTGAAAAAGAAGGAAAAATTATTGATGTGATGAAAAATATTATTTTATTCAAGAATGTGTGGTTGAAAACGAGTAAAAGAATGATAATGAAAATTTTAATGTAGGTGAGACGGACTTATTATCATTGAAATTGTACATGTGAGAAGTAAAATGATGAATAGAGAGGAACATGTCCAACGGGGTCGTGAATTGGAGAAAACACGAGCCTCGTGATACAAGAAAGAGGAAATAGAGTAAAAATAAATTACAAGAAATTAAATGGAGATTTCTAGTAAACTCTTAAATGAAGATAAATTACAAAAAATTAAATGAGGGGTGTGCTAGGCATCCTTTTCTTTTCTCCTTGTCATGTTAAGGTTTTAAGACGATGTTACGTAATTTTTAGTGTAATCCACAATCGTATTGAAGCATTTCTTGCATGATACCCTCCACCATTAATGCTCGTTTATCAACTCCATAAATGATTGATTCAACAGTTAGGCTTACGGATGAGTTGATTCAACACTGACTGCAGGTTTTCCCCACCCATTAGAAATGAATTGGATTTTGTATAAATTCTTTCAGACGAGGTGGTGCAATACATATCAAGTTTGGAAGTTAAAAAAAAGACACATATTGTATACCATGGAATTAAGTGAAAGTACCTGAACTTCTTAGGATCAGTGCTGGAAATAGATTTCGAATTGTGGTCGATGGAGAGAGGGTTTGTTTGAAGGATAAGATATTCAACTTCTCCGATATCTCCCTTTAGTCCTATATTCTTACAGCCATAACCATAAGGATTTGCAGGCCCTGCTTGCTGTTTTCCAGATGCCGGTTTCGAGAAAAACTCGTAACTTTGTTGTTCCATTCTTGCAATGACATCATGAGGGACACCATGGTTGATAACCTTGAAGAAACCGAACTCTTCACAGGCTTTAACGATGAGTTCAGAAACCTCGGACCTGTCGGCCGAAAGGTCTATAATTGGAATTTCAAGATCTATTATTTTCTCAGTTTTTGAAAGGTTTAGAGAGGCCACCATTTTTGAATTAACAGAAGGACAGGAAAAGAAAAGAGATGTGGAGATGTTTGAAATTGTAATAGTATAATTCTTTTATTTATAGATCAAAAATAATATTGTATTGAGAGAGAGAGAGAGAGAGAGAGTATATGGATTTCTGGAAGGGATGGGAGGTGAATTAAGAATATTTGGCCAAACCTAAAAGTATGAGATACTTATTTTTTTGGACCGTGCTACTCTATCAGATTGGTACAAAATCTGGTAGAGTAGTTTAATTCTATTTTTTTAGTAGAAACAGTGTCAAAGTTCAGAAGTCGTAAAATCTGAATTTCGAATTTAAGGGGTTCTTCTCTTCGTATTTCAGTTTTTAGTTTTGAGTGAGTTTTGAATTTATTTTTGATTTTGTGTTTTAAATGTTTATTTTGATATTGTTAAAAACGCGTTCTTTTTGTCATTTTGAAAAATTGTTTTCAAAAATAAAAAAAATGAAGTTTTGGTTTGATTTTAATTGAAAACAGCCAAAACAACTTTTTAGTTTTGAGTTTAAATTCATTTTTTATTTTGTGTTTTGAGTGTCTATTTTGAAATTGGTGAAAACACGTTCTTTTTGTCATTTTGAAAAATTGTTTTCAAAAATTAAAAAAATAAAGTTTTGACTTGATTTTAACTGAAAACAGTAAAAACTATTTTTTTTGATGTTTTC